CCATTTCGCTCTTTAGCACCTAATTAACACCTAATATTGGTATTTGTTAGAATTCATTTATCACTGGTGGAGGGGCTAGCTTAACAAGCGTATAATTAACTGCATACATAAACTTCTCTGTCACATTATCTGATTTAATATAAAATGAGTGACAGGATGATATATATGAATTTATACAATTTAATTCAAAAACGTTTCTTATATGTTTAAATAAGGTAGATATTATAGAAAAATTATTCTACTGTTGTTATATGATTAAGTATTCATTTAAGTCATTGAATAATTAATTATATTATATTTAATAATTTATAAATGTCACATTATATTAAGGGTAAGATGCGATAATTTTTCCATAACATTACCTTATTCTAGCATATAGACATTTCTGGACTAAATTATATAGTTTCTTATATATAATATTATAAATTATATCGTTTTTAATCGTAATTTCAGATTATTTACCTGTTTGATAAATTTTCTATATTTATCTATCATTTTCGTTATATAGTTCAGATACCGTTTTCTATCTGGTCATCTTTTATTAAAATAATAATATGCTATCGTATTTTTTAATCGTATAGTTCAGATTATTCGTCTAAAATATGCAACATATTTTTTTTATTTCTGTATCGTTTTTGTATTGTACAACTTAAATGTCGATTTTAATTAATTATTTTAGTCGTGTTTCAAAATTAGTAATATCATATCCTCTCTCTTAATCGTAAATATGAATTATGACTAAATTTTAGATTCTACAATTTACAAACTAAAAATACGAAAGAATATTATTAATTATTAATTTTCATAAAGTGTAACAAGATAGAAATTGTTTAAAAACGATACGAAGCTATATGATAAAAATGATAGAGAAATATAGAAAATCTATATCAGACAAATAATCTAAAATTTAAGATTAAAAAACGATATTTAAAGTATATGATAAATATAATATAATGTTTATAAGAACTGTGCAACTATAAAGCTAAAGTGTCCAGACGAGCGTGCGATTATAGCTCAACGTTAGAGTGTTAGACTATCATCCCATAGGTATTAGATTCGAATCCCATCAATTCCGATATGCGTTTTCAAAAATTGTAAATTTCCGATGCATAATTGTAATTAATAAATTGCATGTAAAAATATAAATCAATTCCATAAAAGAATAATAAAGAATAAGAACTGTATTTTAATAATTATAAAAACGTTTTTTTAAAAATAATATGAAATTTACAATTAAAAAAATACAATACTATTAATAATGATAAAACATGACCAGATAGAAATTGATTAAAAACGATATCTAAACCATGCGACAAAAACGATAGAGAAATAAAGAAAATCTATCAGATATTTCAGATAAACAACTTGAAATTTACGAATCAAAAACACGATTTAATCAAATAGAGTTTTTTCTTATCTGATTTTATTGGACTTTTTAAGATACCCTGGTGAAAATTTTTCTCGTAATTCTTATGAATTGGAACATTTTTCAGAAATACTCAGAAATATTTGGAAAGTTTACATCTTCTCTCAGAATTTTTTATACAAGTGAATTCTGAAATATTCTAAAATTTTCTCATCTCATAATTAAAAATATTTTTTAATTTAAATAATATAAAAAGAGGTTATAAACCATTCAGGATGTTATGTGAGTAAAACTTCTAAACAATCAAAATTATATGACAGGCGTTTCGACATGATCTCTATCGGGATCATTCTCAATGTTGAATTATAATTTTAAATTGTTACCGATAACGGTGCAAGATGCTCGCAAATTGATCATGTTATATAATGAACGCATGTTGTGGAATTATGTATGTCAGGAAAAGGCCTTGATATCAAGCAATATTCATGTAGGAAACTTAAGAAGTCACATACAGAAGTCACACATGATAGAATATCTTATCACCCTAAACTTCTTCTCAAAAATACAATCGGTTGATACAACGAATTCAATGTGAAATTAATGTACAAACGCTTTATATTCCTTGTATAACTGCAATTAAATAATGTTTGATCATCCAAATAAAATAAAATAAAATAAAATAATTGAATACAAAGTACACATTGTTTAACTATATGCGACTTATATCAAGTTTCTTACATGAATACTACTTGGTATCAAGGCCTTTTTCTATCATAATTCCACTAGCCAACATGCTATTACATGCTATTACATGCATTCATTATATGATTAATTTTTTAGCATCTTGCACCGTTATTAACAATTTAAAATTATAATTTAACATTGAGAATAAATATTTACGTCTGTATATAAATTTTGATTGTTTAGAAAAAAGTTTTACCCACATCTTGAATGGTTCATATAGCTCATTTTCATTATTTAATTCTTTTAATTATTGAACTGTTATTCTTTATTGAATTTAAAAATTTTTTAGATTCTATAACATTTCATCAGAAATTATACTTACAAAAAAATCTTAAAAATCTTACGATATTTTATAATTAACATATATGAAGAATTTTGAGAATAGATTTTCTGAGAAATGTTCCAATTCGTATAAAAAATGTAAGAAAGTTATATTGGAAAGTCGTCTGGAAAGTTCGTGCTGCAAAAGATTTAAATTTAAATGAAATTAATCTTCTGCATTTCAATTTTCCTTCAAAATCGGCATAAACTTTCCGGACAACCCAATAAAATTGTATAGAAATTCTGAAAAATTATATAGAGATTTTGAAAAATTCTGAGAAAAATTTTTACTAGGGTACTGAAATGCAATAATCACTGCTGAGTCAGTAGTGTTACTACTGTAGTAATATATGACGGACGTAACATAGAACTATTTTCAATAATTGTAATATTTGGTATAAAAAATTTATTAGAGTAAAAAATACATAGCATTAGAATTAGTAGATATTATTTCAGCTAATAGAAATAATATTTTACAGTATTATTAAGCACAAATTATCATAGATACCATCATTTCTACATTATAATTATATTTAATATTAATTATTTTTTTTTATATGCGTTCCGTCTCTTTCACAACATCTTTGACCAGATATGTTACGTCCATTATAGAAGTAGTTTTCATACAATCGTAGAAGCATGCTAAATAGAAGTACAGATTCAGGTAGGTGATCGCATGGGAGCATTATAAAATTAGTTCTCGAATTCATAAAGGAAACTTCTTTTTTATTATAATTTCGTGTATTCTCTGAAATATAATAATAATCAATCATACTTATTTTCAGAATAAAACTCCAATGAAATTTTAATGAAATTTCTTCCACCACTATTATACTACTAGTGACACTACTTGTCGAATTTATTTATTGCATTAATGACAGTAGTATATTTTTAGACGGGACAGTAATGTCTTGGTGCTAACATATACAAAGGTAAATCAAATATAAATCGAAATTATTATTTTTTTAATTTATTGAAGCATCATAAAGATACAAAAACGTATAAAGTTATTTCTTTATATAATCTCCGGATTTAAAAACTCATTTTTCTTAAAGAATAGATAGGTTTTTTATTCCGCTATCGTAAAATAAAGGTGGTTGTGACACCAGTCGATCGCGCATGAACGACAACAACATCATCTTCAAATCTCTGCTCTTCAAATAGACCTGCTTCTTTAGTAGTCCAAACAAATGATAATCACAGGGCGATAAATCTGGCTTGTAATGAGGATGTTCTAATGTAATCCAGAACAAATTCTCAATTTTTTGTCGAATTGGGATAACTATATAAGGCCGGGCATTGTCTTGCAGCAGGATAACGTCTCGTGGATGGAATTG